ACTGTGTTGCCAGCACTTTAGAATTCAGGAGGGAAAGGGAAGCTTCTGAGAGCTGCAGTCATGAACTGAAGCATTGACCCCAAAAGCTTACAGGCTGGGAACAAGGAGCACATGCAACTGGATACAGACCAAGCTTCAGAAACAGCAGCAGCACAGTATCTTCTATGTGTCAGTACATTGAAATCTGCTTGCATTGGCCTGTCTGATTCGTTAGCATGGTGCATTGTTACTTACTGCCCCAACCTCATGCAAGTCTGCCCGATATCACTAAAGTCAAGGAGGATCCTCTCAAGAGTGCCCGTATCACCAACAAAAGCCTCAGAGGCACTGTCCCAAAAGACTTACAGCTGTAGGATGTGGTCTAGGTCCTCTACAGAAGCTGTGTCTTCCATCTGTTCAAGAAAAGATGTGCCTGGTGGATTATAGCATCTTTTGCAAAAGAAAACTGGAAGCCCAAGCAAGTACACAAACTGCACTAACCTTTCACCTGTACAGCTAGCCCCAGGGATGGGGAGATCAGCAGAGACAGTAAATTAACCCACTGGACCTCATTCCGTACCTGCCACATGCTTAAAGAAGGGCTTTATCTGGCTGCCTTTTTGCATAAGTAATCAGCTTGCAGACATAGCATTTTTTGTCATATTTCTCTTGCGTTAGAACACATGATATGCGCAGTCTCTACGGTTGAATAAAAGGTCATGACTGACCAGCTGGTAGCACAGAATGCATTTTTACACTAATGGCAGGGTATTCTAGCTTTTGTTTCATATTGCAATAACTGCATATTTACATAAACCCTACATCTGTTTAGTTAAATTAAGCCAGAGGCTGATGATCTTTGTCTTTACAAAAGAGCTGATTTAATTTTATTGAACTTAGCTTTCCATTTAAAAGATCAAAGTCAGTGCAGCCCCCTGCAGTAACAATTCAGTCTTATGTGTTCCTTCAAATGTTCACATGAAGAAAATAGGGGAACTGGGACTCAGAAAGCTAATGAATTTTAACAGACAAGTAGCAATTACTCATTCCAAAAAAAATAAATAAAAATGAAAATAAATAAAATAAAAATAAAACCTCTTTGGGGCCTTTGTTTATTCTGGTCTTGATGAGAGAGATATTTTTCCTTCCACCAAAGTGTCAAAGTCTCGTGGATTTTCCTGACTCCTGCCTCTGAAACTGTCAGGAATTAATAGTGGAGGCAGCATGCAGATTTTTTGGCAAATTTCTAGAAGCTGGTAAATACTATGGGGAAAAGACGCTTAAGAAAACTGGTGAAGACCTGGCCTCTCTAGCTATAATGTGTTAGTTCCAGGCACTCTGCACAGTGAACACCAGTTTGCATATAAGGTTGCTTGTTATCTCTACTGAAAGTAAAGGTAAAAATCATGACTATGAAACTGTATCTGTAATGGAGATAAGACATTTCCTGTGTTCTGAAAGAGCCTGTATGTCACCTCTGAGCATCTGACTTAGGGGAATTAGTCTTTGTTTTGCAAACTTTTAATTCCAGGAGAGGAAAAACTGAACACCAGCCTTATATTTCACTCCTGAAATTTGGTATTTGCTTACAAGTGGTTTCCTCGCCTCTCCAGCTGTCAGCAGCACTTACTACTCAAACGCTGGGTGAGCACCATGGCTACACCCCATGCTACAGCAGGATAAGGCCAAACACACACTAAAATCCACTCTTCCTGGCTCCCTTCCTGGGGTTAACCCCTGCAGGCAATGTGAGAATAGTGACCAAACGGCGCTGTAGCACACTCCAGGTTAGCCCTCCATCAGGACACTGAGGGTACTGAGTCAAAAGTCTGTTTTGGCTCCAGGAAAACGTTTCCAAGAGGTACATATTGCTACTGCATTACACCTATGTAATACATCCTCATTAGCATTTCAACTTGGATTAGCAATGTACTTTTGGAGCATTCCCCCTGACCACCCTTCCTCACCACGCTTTGCTTCAAGTTATGAAACTGCCCTGACATCTGGGAACTGGACTCCATCCAGACAAAGCTAACCCAAATCTGGTGTAGCATCGCACTTACTAAGCTACAGACGCTAACATGAGACCAGTCAATGTGATCAGATTAGAGCTGGTCTGAAGTAAATCTCTGAAGTACACAGAGGGCACACTGGGTCCCCTGCACCAGCTCCTCTGCGCAGCAAATTTGTCCTACTTGTTCCAGGCCACCTGCTAATGTATGCACAGCCCAAAGAGGCTGCACTGCTGCTTTCTAACCCTCTCACTGCTTAAATAGGTGAATAGTGCCATTTTAGGTACCATATGGTATCCCTGCAGGCCTCCAGCTGCCACTCTGCAGATCAACAGCTTAACCAAATGTCTCGTGTCATATCTGGCAGCCCAGCGCAGGCATCTCAGATACCTTAGGGACACAAACTGGCTGTGGATGTCTATGTTTCGGCAACTGAATACCATTTTATTGAAGTATCTATTCCCCTCTAGACCAAAAACAATAGAAGCAAATGAGGTTAAAAATTATAAATAAGGTGCTTGAAATACAACGGTAAGTAAAATAATAAAATAAAATAAAATAAAATAAAATAAAATAAAATAAAATAAAATAAAATAAAATAAAATAAAATAAAATAAAATAAAATAAAATAAAATAAAATAAAATAAAATAATTGTAGAAGTCTCTCTAAAATCCTTGGAGACTTTTTTTTAATAACTAAAATGTACAAAAAGCCTAATTTGGGCCAATATGTGTGTTATTTTGTTCTTCAAGAACACCTGAACTTTACAAACACCATTTATTGTTCAGTGAGGGCTAGATTCACTGAATTCATCAATAAGAAGCTCAGAATTAAGTTTCTGTGTGTGTACTTTACTAGTCTAACACCCCAGATGCTCTGAGGACTATAGCATCAGGATCTTTACATGATCATGCCCTAAAGCTAAGTTTGTACTCATAAATCAGTAAGTTATCAATTTACTAAATTTGCTGGGGTCATAATAAAAGAAATAGGCTTTGGCATGTCCTCTGCCTCGAGGATGACTGACAGAGAGCAGCCTTCGTCTGTGCTAGCAAACACCTGGCCTTCAGAAGGGGCTGCCCGCAGGTGAGCAGGGATGGATGCTGTAGGGGCTGGCCATGCTCAGGATTCTGTGGCAGAGGCTGATGGCCACCAGCCGGCACTGTGTCATGGGCTAACCTCCTGGTCTTACACAACAGTCACTCTCCAAAGCCTCAGAAAAATTTACCTAGAAATAGCCTAAGTTTCTGAATCCACGTGGAAATATTTGGAGCTTCAAGTCTTCTAAGTGCTGAAACCAAAATCATGCCCAGCAAAACAGTTTCTAACAAACACATGAAGCAGGCAATGCTCTTGCTGGGCGTGCAAAGGCCAGCATTCATGTATTCCTGCTGCTCCCTCCGCAGACCTGCCTGCATTTCAGCAGCCAGTGACAAACCTCACATTTCCTATAAATGTAAATTAAAGTAAGTGCAGTCTTTTTAGATGCTGTGGACAAAAATGGGGCAGAAATGCCACAGAAAAGGGAAGTAAGGGAGTGATTATGCACATTAACATCCTGCCTGTGATGCACAACCTATTGCAGACCTTTAATTCTTACAAAGACGGGAGATAGGGAACGTTGTTTTGGTCTGCCTTGTTTTGCCATTCTGTTAGTCTGACTAAGTAGCTTTGGATTAAAGAAAAACAGGGACTGAACATATACTGCCTATTTAATAGTGTCTGATGCCACTTGCATATATATCATCAGCACTATTTTAAATGTAAAACTAGACTTTTAAGAGCTCAGCATCAAAACCAAAACAAAACCAAAAAACCAAACAGGCAGTGTGGCTTCATGTGCAAGTTTGCATAAAGAAAAAAGGCATTTAGTGGCATTTCTCAGGCCAAGTGATCTCTCATCTAGAAAAGCTAAGGCTACATGGCGTTGAAGTCAGGCACACTGTATCCTCATTGTCCATGTGCAGTGATGCCGTCTATATGTGAATTTCCTATATCAAGGACTGAACACCTGAATGCTTCCTAATTTCTAAAATAAGTGGAGCACCTCCAACTATGTATTTTCAGTCTACATGTATGGCAAATCCCAAAGATAATATTATACAAATAAGACACAAAATACAACAGCATACATTACTAGTATGTATAAATGTATTCTATTAATAGCATATAATCATAAACATGAAACAGTGCATGAATAAAACATATTTTTAGAAGTTTTTCTTTCTGTCACCTTGGATCTACAGATTGGGTATAGGAACTGCAGTGCTGACTTTTATTTACAGGACTGATTCACTGATAATTGCACTTGTTTAACACAGGAAAGTAAGTAAAAATAATGTTTTTAATAAAATTTACATTTTAGTTATTTTCTTTCCAGATCTGCAGCTAACTTCTGACCCCAGAAAGGCTTATCCATATGTTTAATTTTACACTTAGGAGTAACAATAGTGAAAATAATGCACATAAAAATGAGCCTTTGCAGAGCTGAAGTCGTGACAGTAGCCTGCTTTCACATTCAGCATGCACAAAAACCCACCCAAGAAGGAAAAGGTGAAGTGAAAAGGTACAGTCATTCCCACTCTCCCGCATTCTCTGCAGATTTTCATTTCACATTCTCTCAAAATAACACAAATTGACATTAACAAATATTAATAGGATAGATAAAATATTTCGTAGGAAAATAATTCAGCAACCATTTATAGTCCTTTTTTTCTTTTTTTAATTTCAGGTTCTTCTCAGGCCTCTGTTTCTAATATGCCAGCATATGTTTCCCTCTGACATAAATCGATATTTCAGTTGCATGTGTTGACGGGCTTGGACTTTACCAGTTAGAGGCCTAGATGCTCACTGGCCCTCACTTAAGGTACGTTTTTTCCAGTACGCCCATCATAGCAACAGCTGCTCATCCTTTATTCCAGTAAGCAACACTGGGCCACTGGATTGTTTCTAAGTGTTATGTTCATTTTATTGTTTATTGATGGATGACATTTCAGCTTCTCCCTGCTGCAGTCCAGTGAATCCTGGTACACGATGGATGCAGGAACAGGTTTTCCTGGTGATGAAGATGCAACATGATAGTATCTTGAAATGCCACAGTGTTAGAGAGCACTCTGAAGTACTTTGTACATAACCCTAGTATGTTTGTGGCTTTACTAAGAATGCTGAATAACATGTAATATTTTGCCTTTTACAGAAAAGTATAGTAGGCAATGGTGAAAAAGATAATCTGTACAGATTATTGCTGACAGAAGAAAGAGATTTTTCTGTGAGACAAAGCACATCACAGTGCATTTTCCGGTACTAAACCCAGAGGAGTAATAAAAAGTATCTCTGAATTGCAATAGACAGTTGTTTTAAGTGGTATTATGCAGAACTTGCTTTCACAAAGCACAGTGTTTCTTAATTAGCTGTAGCACTGTGTTGAGAACCTCTTCCTTGGAAGGACTGGCATCTACCTCTTGGCATGAAGGATTCACCATCCTTCTGTAGGACTCTTCAACTCTATTTAAAAACAAAACAGGAGAAACAAAACTTCAAACTGCAGGGATATGAAATGGCATTAGTCATCAGCCTTGGAAGAAAGTGTTTGCAATGCAGAGAAAAGGGGAACAAAATCTAACATGAAGCTAAGAATGAAATCTACTTCAAAGACCAATAAATCATTAGTAACCATTACAATGCAAACCTCAAAGCACATAGTTTCCTTGATGTTGATTCCCAGAGCTCTATCCATATTCACATGGCATGGCACTGAAGAATTAGTTTCTTTGCAGCTTAACACTGCTGTATATATATATATATATATATGACTCTGGTCTAGCAGTACAGTGGATAGCCTGCTTCTAACACCTGCATCAATTTATCCAGAGCCCACTCAGGCTCCCCTCTCTTAACTATATGGCATGGCATTATGTGAGTGTGTTCACTGACTGATTTCAGCTTTACACTGCATTACAGAGTCGACACAACATTCAACCCTTTTCTCTGATCAACTTTGCTAACTGGATGAATACCAGGATGAAATACAGGGTGAAAACCTCCTTACTTAGGCTATTCTCATAATGCAGAACTCTCCCACATTTAGCCCATGAGGATGTGAATGAGGATGTGAATGAGAATGTGAATATAATTTTCTGTGTTCACACAATTAATAATACCAAACGTTCAGGCCACAAGTCATAAGACAAATCAAGCAAGATTCTGGATGTTCTTACCTCCAGACTGACATAATTAACTAATAGAAATAATCAAGGGCTTTCTGGTGGGAATAAGAAGTAACAGAATTAAAATATGAAATATTCTTAAATGGCAGCATGTTTCCTAGCTCACCTATCTCTCTGCAGATCCCACGATATAAACCATGTGTCCTCACAGAGATTCTGTCAGAATTAAGCAATGGATATTTTTAAAGTATGTCATCACCTGAAATTTTAAAATCCTACAGGCAGACTTCAGCTTTGTTACTTGTAGGTATGGACACTGACATTCAGGTGTCTATACTGAGCACTAGATATTTAAGTTTCCACTGCAAACAATGATGATCTAATTGATAAATTTGGCAGAGCCTAGACAGCAATTCAGCACACCCTGAAGTAGGAAATCTAGAGTGCAATTCAGTTGCTTAGGCAAATGTGTCTAGTACTGCTTGAGATGCTCTGGACTATCTCATTCAGCTGGTCCAGAAACGTTCACGGGTTCCGTATCACATCTGCCAGCCTCATGCAGGTGTCTCAGATCTTACAAAATGGCTCTAGATAGTTATGCTTAGATCACTGGGCTCCAAAAACATCTCAAGTCATATCAAATGGCTCTAGACACTTATGCTTAAACCTCTGAACTCCAAGTGGGTGGTAAGCTGAATCACTTTAAAGGCTCCATTGAATGTATTAACTATACTGGGACCTGGGACACTTAGCACAATTGAAGACATCTACAAGAGGAGATCTAAACTTTATTCTTTTAATCTGATGCTCAATTCCAGATTTTTCTGGGGAAGCTATATGTTTCAACTTCTTGCCCCACAGTTCTGGAAGTTTTAGGTCACTCTCCATCGTGACCTCAGTACAAAAGGTGCTGCAATTAAAGCAGCAAGTAGCAAAATACAAGCATTTTTAACTCAAACCTCCTTTGCAAGAAAATGCAGTTCTTCACCTGCAGCTTTAAAACACTTCTAATCAGAAGTGACAGAATTTACCTTCTTGGCAGCCATGAATCCTTTCAAAAAAAAAAAACCCAACCCAATCCAAAAACTTAGACATTGGAAATCCTTGTCCCAGTAATGTGAGTGGGACATTTGCTACTCATCCCACAGGAGCCATGATTGCCTCCATTGCCTCTATTTCTCCTTAAAGTGTACCTTTGGCGAAACAAGGTGTTAGCTTCCAGTTCAGCTTCCTCCTTTGTTTTCTCCAGGCCTCGACGCTGAAGTCTCCGGACTCGCTCCTCCGGGTCAACAGTCAGGAGAAGAACAAGATCAGGTTTAAGCAGATCGCCAGGCCACTGGTACACCTCATCATGAGCTGGTGGAAGATCCTGGACTTTCCCATTTATTTCAGTGGCAATTGTGTAGGCAGCTGTGCTGTGCCAGTACCTGTCAGGAAAATACAGAATGGAAGGAGAAACTTTAGACAGGACATTAATTCTTCAGCAATATATGAGACAGGTGTCACTATAAAGACAACTGCAATAATGATGACATAGGTGACACTGTGATTTTGAAGGGAAATGTTCTGTACTATCAATTATTTCTTAATTAATTAATGGATAATGAGTGACAATACTCAATGCAATTAATGTGAATTATTAAGTAAAACCTATGGCAGAAGCTACGTTTTTTGCAGAGTGTTCCAGATGCTCCTATCGAAAGAAGGTCTTCTCATACAATGAGAGGTCAAAAGAAGAGTTATATGTCAAAACTCAATACCCTGAGCCCCCTTTTTGCGGTTTCCATCCTACTTCATGCAACAGATTTGGCAGAGAACATTCAGTCTTCAGCTCCATGTGAATGAAGACAGAATTTATTGATGGCTATGCATTTCACTTGCATTTAACATTCCCACCACTATGAGGCCCTGTATTTTATATATTTATTTATGTATTTATCTATTTATATATAAATATTTATATATTTTTGAATAAAACCCACTGAAATGTAACCAAAATTTTGGTTAAAAATAGCTCCCACACAGATGCAAATAACTTCTATGTACATGTGCTGTGGAGGGGCACTACAGTACATTTACTGAAACAAACCAGGAGTGCAAACTGTATGTGGACTTCATGTATTAAGAGCAACATCAGAGCTGCCTACACAGTTAGTGAAAACAAGAAATAACATAAACAAAACCAAAAAAGTAGGAAGCATATTTCTGGCTTTACATCCTCAAAGAGTAAGTCTACCTAAAACTCCATAATTCTATCCTACCTGTATCTCAGATGCATCTAAGAGTTAGCATTGATCAGGAGCCCTCATCCTTCTTGGGCTTGTCCCATGGCCCTGGTTTGGCTCAGGCTGCACATCCCATACCTCCACTATTCCTAACAGAGGATGCAACACTTTTCATTGTGTCCTAAAGCCAGTTATGAGTATTACACTGATGGAAGTCCCATTCTTACTGTTATCATAAGTATTAATCTTTAGAAGATTTAATATTTACCTATATGCAAAGTAGCATATCCCCCCCTCCAAAAAAAAAAAAAAAAGAGGAAAAGAAAACCAAAGACTGCCATTAACAACTTCCACCTGTAGCACTGAACAACTGTATGATGCACTGCTATAAGAGGACTTCTTAAATATACAAACCTGTCTACGATCACAGGTGCCTGAGTGGACACTTTTGCTATTTCTGAAGCAAGAATGTAGTTGCCCGCAGCATAAAATGCCCTTCTAATGGGTGCTGGCTCATCATCAAATACTGCCCTCCACTGGCTGATGCAAGCTGGTGGGGACCTCAGCAGAAAGCCATTCAGGGTGTCCTTAACAGACTGGGTTACAGTGGTTTTGCCTGCATTTACAGAAGGGAACATTTGTTATGTTACACATCAGATACAACTGTATATCCTTTAAAAATTTAGAAATGCTCCTATCTGTTCACTTGAAACACATGCTCTGACACCCGACTATGTAATCTGAGTATCATGTGATGAGCTTTTCAGTGGGAAATGATCATGAGTCTGGTTGCAGGAACTATTACTCCACTTCCTCCTCCCAGGCCTTCCACCTCTCCATCTTATCACCTTTCGGTCTTCACACCCTTAAATGCACTAAACGCATGGGCAGTTCTCTATATATCCATCTATTTCTATAGATACCCATTTACAACATTTTTCTAGGTCACAGCTCATGTGGATGTTGCCACCCTGTCAGCCAATATTTTCTTCTTAGAGGGGATTTTCAGCTTTCTTTAACTGAAAAGTCAGAAAACAGTTATTCAAAGGCAACAAAAATCCCTGCCTGAGACAAACTGCTGCCAGCTTCCCAGACTACCAATATTTTACTTCGTTTATTTAAAAATCTCTCAGGTAAAAGTATGTTTCATCGTTTGCACAAGAAATTTGATTTCCTGTACTCCACTCTGTATTCTTTCATTTACTTGGATAAGGAATTCATGCTCTGAATGGGAATTAGCATAGATTGATCTCTCACGACTAAAAGAAGACAGGCTGGTCTTTAGTAATTCTTTTAATTTAACTTTAATTAGTAATTCTCTCAGATCTGTCACAAGTTTCCAGGATTTTCTGAATTGCTAAACCCTATGCCTGGCTGAAAGCCACAGCGGTCGCTCTTTCCAACAATTTCCCACCTGCGGTATTTCAGCCACACGCTGCTCCTACCTGTGGCGTCCAGCCCCTCGAAAACCACGACGGGAAATCTTCCCTTCTGCTGATGCGCAGGGCATTTCTCCAGCAGGTCGAGTAGCGCTCCGGCCTCCGGGATCCGCTCCGCGCACTGCACGGAAAGAGACGCAACCCTTCGCACCCCTGCCGTGGCGCCGCCCTAGGCAGCGGGCATCCCCGAGCCGCGGCACCGGCGGGGGCTCACCTCCTGCAGGCGGTCGCGGACGGCGGAGGCTGCGGGCGGCAGGGCGCGGCGGAGGGGGTGCGGGCCCGGCGAGCCCGGGGCGCAGAGCCGCAGCATCGCCGCCGAGAGCCGGACGGGAGGTGCAGGCGGCGGCCGCGCGGCCGGGAATCGAAACTGCCCCTGCTGACGGGGAAAGCGGCTGGAGAGGCCGGCAGGCAAGAGCCGGCCCTCGGAGGGGCGGGATTTTTGCGGCCCCCTCCCGCTTTACTGGAGTGAACGGGCTCGGTCTCCGTGAGAAACGGCTCTGTGCATGCATAACTGAAACTGAAAGTAGAAAGTGTAAGTCTTAGCCTCGGGATCTGACCCATTCCACCCCTCATTCCCCTCCCGAGCAAAAAAAAAGGTCACATTCCCATGGTCTGCAGTGGCTGAACCATGGGGTCTCCAAAATAAAACAAATAAACAGTAAAATGCATGAAAATAATAATTAAAAAATCACAAATACACTCTACTTTTTCAGTCTGGCCTGAAGAGACAAGCAAGTCATGAACCCAACGGAACTCTTTTGCTGTGTTGCAGTGCCCAAGTGACACTGAGCTGTGAGGACATTATTCCTAATTAAATCCTTAATAGTAAGACCAACAGGCTCAAACAATTTTGGAAGTAAAAGTACTTTTACAAGCCTGTGGTGTTTTCATAACTTGGTGATGGCCAGTTTCAGCTTCCATCTGCTCAGGGACAGGAGCTGGAAGGACTTGCCAATAGCCATAACACTTGCTTAGTTTCATGTCAACTGCTACGAATAATGTTGCCCAAAATGTGGATTTTGAGTTTCAAAAATATGTAACTTGAAATGCAGGAGAACCTGCACCTCTTGCAGAATCCTATTTCTGCATTTCAGCAGTTCGGAAACTGCCACTTAGAGATATCTAAAGTTAAAATTCTGATACAATTTCTGAAAGAATATACTCTACAAGCAAGTACAATCTGCAAGAAATTCCTCAGGAACTTGATGTCTTCCTCCGGCCAGCTCAAACAAATATCTTTTGCTTAGAGTTTCTGCAGGGAGAGGGGAACAACTGGTAGGCAGTATTGGTGAGACAGAGATCAGCTTACACTAGTCGGAAACTACCCGTGCTGAGGAAGATGGAGGAAGGCTGGGCCAGAGCAAGAACTTGAACACAGCCTTGAAGGCTCCTGAATACACTCTCAGAAGCAGGTACCAAAACTGGCACTTTTTTAAGGCAAAGTATGCCCTTTTTTATATCTGAGAACTCCTACGTCTTTCCACATCACTCCAATGGCTGTGGCAGCTGGGTATGGATGCCAGAAGACACAGTATAAAATACCATTCATTATACAAGATGCCAATTGATGGTAATATTAAGCACATATTAATATGCACTACTGAATCAGACCAGTGGCTCTTCTCTCCCAATATTTTGTCTGGCAGAATGACATGCTGCTCAAAAGCCTGGCATATCCATGGTCTCTTCTAGTTCTTATGCTCCTATAGGATCCACAGTCAACAAATTAGGAATGTTCAACAGCACATCTTAATCTCTTCCTTTTAGCACCTATTTATGGACCCTTGCTCATCCATCTATTTAAATCCCTTTCTGACTCCACAATACAGTCTAACTCCATAAACCCCCATGGTCTCACATTCCAGCAATGCACCTCTTGCATAACACCAATTTTCTTTTATAAGCTTGAAACTCATATTCTACTTGCTTCAACAAGTGCCTCTTCTAGTAACATTACTGACTTTGGGGATTAACAGTTCAATACTTGGTCTATTTATCACCTTCATGATTTTGTAAAACTCATTCAGATTTCCTCTTCAGCTTTTTCATGTCAGAAATGAGAGTGCCTATATCTTGAAGGCAGTTGATTCATCCCTTAAACATTTATATAGAAGAAAAACTTCCCTAACTCTGTGAGGTCCTTGATGAGATGTGGAGACCTGAACTGTACCACTAGTTAAGGTATGGCTACAAATACCGAAGTTTCACAGAGCAGCGAAACAATGCCACCTGCCTTGTTCTCATTACATTTTCTGGGTGATACTAAGCTTTTTGTTGACTTCTTTTTTTCTGCTGTCTCTCACAGAGACATTGATTTCAGAGGGGTAGCAACAGTGACTCCAATATCTCTTTCCTGAGATCCTAGTGCCACTGCCAAGCTCAGCCCCTTGTATACTCAAGGTTTCGATTATTCTTTCCTATGTGCATCTCCTTATCTTTCTCTACACTGAAGCTTATCTGCAGCTTTTCTGTTTATTCCTTTTTTGAGGTCCAATTGACTTGCAGCCAAGTTTCTTTGCAAAAGCATTTAAAAGCTGTCCGTGTTCCTCACTGACCTGTCTGGTCCCTTGCTCTTCATTTCAAATGTTTTCCTGATGCCACTCTTGCCTTTCCCCTCCCTGCTGTCTAAATGGAAAGAGCTGGCTTTCATTTTCTATTTCCCCTCCCACTGCCTTGATACAATCTTGTTTGCAAGCATTCATGAGACAAGTCAGTGGTGCTTCTTATTTATAATATGCTTATGAGATCATTTATAACAGACATGTGATGTCTGTCCTCCTGGCTAATTACTTAAAAGTATCTTCTTGCAAGATTTTAGGTCTTTCCTATCAGATTATACACAAACAGTTCAGGCAAAAATACAGGAGAAGAGAGCTGCCTTTTATGTCCAAGACAAGTTTTTGTATTTAAAATCAGTGTAGAGAGTATGAATGTCTTGAAATTAACTAATGGGAAGTATTTTTCAGTTTCTTCACAAGGGCTTTTATAATTTTATCTTCTCCATAGTATGAAATGATGCTGAAGAGCAAATGTGCAAATTATGTGAAAAACACTGTTCTGGAGCCTCTTGACATCTCTGAACGTTCACTGTGCTTGGACATAGTTACAGGGAAGAGCCATATGACCACTGAAAATCTTTTTGATCGACCCAAAGTGGAAAAAGAGGAAAAAAAGCCCCAAATTAATCAACCTGTCACTTTAAAAAATGTATCTAAGTGCATAGCCCTATAATGTAGATAAATAGCTGAGACACAGGCAGGAATTACTTATGTTTGAAGGCCCATTAAATGCATAGGTACAAAAACCAGACACAACTAGAACATAGCTGTTTTCGTGCACAACAAGCTTTCAAGAACACCAGTAAAGAGCCTTCCAGTAAGGAAAAAGGTCTGGGGGTAAAATTATAAGAACACAGAAGTTAGTATCATATTAGGCCAAGACACCCTCCTCTTCTGCCCACTGTTGGTGGCCAGTGCCAGATGTTTGGAGAAGAGTATGGAACAAACCCAGAAGGATCCTTCTCCCAACATCTTTTTTGCCAAGAAAGGTCAGACCAGATGGTCCCTGAAGTCCCTTCCAACCTGGTATTCTATGAGTCTATGATTCTATGATCTTGGCCCAGATTCTAGGACTCATCTCTTTCTATGCTCCCTGAGCTGGAGATCACATATACACCACGAAGGCCCATGGTGGGCTTCTTTCAAATGTGCCTAATCTGTGTATTTATATTGTGTGTTTCAGAACGTAATTTGCATGTGGGTTTTAACTTTGTCTTTGGTAATTTTCCCTGGATTGCATCCCAAGGAGGAGTGAGTCACTGCAAGTACAAGGTCCTTGACAGAATCCCATTTATGGTGCTAACGGGGAAGTCATCATTTCCAGATGGGAGTGGATCAAGAAATAATATATTAATCAAATGCTAAAAACTACATCTGCCATTGCATGACTTCCCTGGTTGTTCTTGGACCATCTGTGTTCATCAAAGGTGATATGATAATGGCTCTCTGTTAACCTTATTTGTATTACTGGCTCATGTCATGAATTTGCTTTCCCTAGGAGCTGAGGCACTGTGCAAGGAGATCAGGGCTGAGGCTGCATTAGGTCTAGGTCACTGGCAGCCTCAGTGTATCTTCTGCAATTCCCAGCCTTTCAGAATGTCAGGAAAGTTTCTGAGACAGGGTGAGCCAGAGGAAAATGTGTTACCTGCAGTAAGATCTCTACACAAAGCTATATGCAGTGCTCATGAACTTGGTGGCATACATATATGTACATATATACACACATATATATACTCAGTCACAACACAGTATGTCTTGAGATCCAATATTTGCAGTGTTGAGATTGTCTTTTAAGTTCTTACGCTCATCAGAAGTATTCCTAGGAAAAGTTTTCTAGTTCATAGGATGGAGAAAGGCTGTAATCCCTACATCTGCATTGGCTCAATTTTATATGAACAAAAGTTAGAAATGAGGTGAGAAAGGAATTTGAATTTGGGTCAAGAAGATACGAAATGGGATAGAGTTACTAACATACAGCAGAAGGGATGTATGGAGAGAGGGGGAAATGGAGCATAGCAGTCTTTGCCAAATTAATTGAAACACTGAAACAACCGAGAAGCAACTTCAAAGTCAGGTTTTAGTCTCAGCCTCAAGGAACTTGAAGGGCACATGGATAATTCCTCCCATGGTTACTCACTGCTGACAAGCTCTAAGACAATTCTGCAAAGCCTGGGGAACTGAGATGTTTCCCACCATGTTGCATCATTATACATTTGCAAGGTGGCATTACCGGGGTTAGACACAGCAAAAAGCCTCCCATCCCGCCCTATGGCATGAATGCATTCCAGTAAGAAACAGCTGGTAGAGATAACAGTATAAAATGGCTGAAGGGAAAAAAACAAATCCTCATTATTCACTGACCCAGGCATTATTAAGCCGTAGATCATCTCTAGGAAAGTGAAGAAAAGGTGATGGGTATTTAAGAATAGCAAATGACAGCAGTAATAAAAGAAACAGTCTTTATTCACAAGCAGATTTTGTTTCCCATTTAAGTTTGTGAACAGGATGAAGCCAGTTCTGATACCCCTTTTCCAAGGGGAAAAAAAAGAAAGAAATCAACATGAGGACAAGACTCTCCTGCTACATTAGCAGTTCTGCAGGCCAATGGAAGTGAGTGAAGCTCCTGTTTAAGCCTGCCATAGCCAACATGCAGTTGGTGTTGAGATTTGAGTACGGCAGCAATAGAAACACTAAACTGCCCATGCAAGAAAGAGGACAGAGTGGCTGAAGGCAGTGTGAGGCTGAAAAGCCGTGGAGGACTTCTGGGTGTCTAGACCCACTGGGAGTGCTGATAGCAACTGGTGCTATGATGGGCGTGCTCTTTCTCCAGCAACGGCTGCCCTGCCACTGAGGAATTGAGGAAGCTGGGAACTGGCAGCTTAGTCTCAGTCTCTCCTGGTGTTACCATGAGGGGCAGCCATCTGCCCCACCAACATGTCAGCTCACAGAGGTGCAAACTTTTCCTGCTTTTAAGGCTAAACCTATTTTCAGCTTGGTGCAAGTAGCTTTGCTTGAGGTGCTTTAGGCAGTATCAGAGACCAAGAATTAAAGAACCTTCATGTATTTTCTGTTCATGAATCTGAAGTCATCAGGCTCCCTAACCTGGAGTGCTCTGCAATGCAAACCTTCTTAAACTTAGGAGAGCTTCTGGCTATCTCTGAGAAAGATGAAGCACAGTTACACAAGCTCAGCGTTACCCCTGCTTCACGAGTCACACCGGTTTTGACCCCAAGAACTGAAGCCACGCAGTCCACACACATTAAAGGGGGTACTTAGATGCTCGATGTGCTCAGACCATCCACCAGCCTGGGCACCAGCCGGGTTTCCTGATGGCACTCAGTAGAAGAGATAAGGGGCTGGGGCAGAAAAGGGAGGGGATAATGTGGGTGTAGCACAGCGAGAGAACGAAAACATCGATTCCGGGCCAAGTTTCCCTTCCCCGAGAAAGGAAAACGAAACCGGTTGCTTCCCCACGCCCCAGAACGGCGGGATGGGGCGGGAGGGGACGGGGCCACCGTTTTTTAAGCACTGAGCGACTGGCGCTTCGCTGCAGCTTGCGAGCCGATCCGGGTCGAGCCTAACAGAGCCGACCCAAGCCAAAGCAAGCAGAGTCGAGCCGAGCCGAGCCGAGCCCAGGCGGGTCCAAGTAAAGCGCAGCGCGGAGAGGAGCGGAGTCAAGCCGAGCCGAGAGATGCAGCTGAGTGTGCTATACCGCCTGCCGCTGGCGGTAGCCCGGGCGGTGCTGGCGGCGCTGCGCGGGCGGCTGTGCGCGTTGTGCTGGAGCCTGGCTCCCCTATCTCGGCCCCTCTCCCTGCCCCTACCAGGCTGGCGGCTGGTCTCGGCCCTCAGCCCCGTCCCCCCGACGGGACCCCGACGGGAGCGGGACGACGACGACGACGCGTCCCTGATGCCCATCAGCGTCAATTACCACTTCACCCGGCAATGCAACTACAAGTGCGGCTTCTGCTTCCACACGGCCAAGACCTCCTTCGTGCTGCCCCTGGAGGAGGCCAAGAAGGGGCTGGCGATGCTCAAGGAAGCAGGTGAGTTCAGCGGGGTGATGAGCGGCAGGCCCAAATGGCGTGTAAAAAGTTATCCCTGGGTGTGCCCCTCTTCATACCGCTGCGGTTGCGTACAGACAGCGAGCGGAAGGAACGAGCAACAGGTAGGCTGAGGTTCATAGCATCTTTCTTTGGTCCTTTTCTAGGAATGGAGAAAATAAACTTCTCGGGAGGAGAACCGTTTCTTCAGGACAGAGGGGAATTTGTAGGCAAACTGGTCCAGTTTTGCAAGCAGGACTTGAAGCTACCAAGCGTCAGCATTGTCAGCAACGGCAGTCTGATTAGAGAATGGTGGTTCAAGAAGTATGGTAAGGAAAAACTGCTGTGCAGAGAAGCACTGGTGGGGTTTGGGAGCTCCTCAGGGTTTGAGAGTTCCTTTGGGCAGCCTCAACAAAAGATGGGTTTTGATGCAAGTGGGCGATGGTTTAGTTCATTTATAGGTTAATTTATAGTAAATGCAAATCAAACTTAAATACTGGTGAAATATTGTTGAATGTACATTTTCAACACAGGGAGTTTGTACTATTGCCTCTTTGGTATAATACTATAATAAAGTAATAGCTCAGACTGTCTTCATAGCTGAGGACATGGACACATACACACGCAAAATGTCTGTTTTGGTGCTGCAGCTGTGGATTTTGTGGTTCATGTGGTGACTCCACAGAATTCTATTTTCAGGCACTCTGTGACACATTGCAAGGAAGTGAAAATGGGCAGAGTCCTGAGAGCTTCTAACTGAGGGACTGAATATTAATCAATTTTTAAAACTTATTTTCAGGTGAATATTTAGACATCCTGGCAATTTCATGTGATAGTTTTGATGAGAATGTCAACATTTTAATTGGCCGTGGTCAAGGAAGGAAGAACCATGTGGAAAATCTGCATAAGCTGAGACAATGGTGCCGAGAATATGCTGTTGCTTTCAAAATAAATTCCGTGATCAACAGATTTAATGTTGAGGAAGATATGAATGAGCAGATCAAGGCACTCAACCCCGTGCGCTGGAAGGTAAGAAAGTAGTGTATATCATAGGTTTCATGTTCAGAAAAAAAATAATTATGAAGTCTTGGAGTTGTCTGAACCTCAAATGACCTCAGGCAGATCTCCAATTCCAGCCTGGGCTGCTGTTAGTGGACTTTTTCTCTGTGTTATGTAGTGTTGAGACAAGTTCTGTTTCTTTCTGCAGTTAAATGGAGCCTAGTATGTCAATAATATTTTTTGTTGTACTGGAAATTACTATTTCAGTGTATGTAGATCTAGGGGGTTTTATGATACTAAAAAAAAGATAGAAGGTATTTAACATTTGAAAATATGTCATGGTGCAGAGAAAATGAGGAAAAGTGTACAATGATACATTAGAGTTAAAACATCCTTAGCAATATATAAGTGTACATTAGACATTAATGTTCTGTATTAGTGTATTAGAGTATTAGTGGTTAGTGTGCATATATTACAACTCCTCCATAACTGGGATGAGTGGCTGATACCCCAGAGTGCTGTACACACTTCTATTCAGAAGGATCTAGACAGGCTGGAGAGATGGGCAAAAAAGAACTTTCTGAAGTTCAACAAAGGTAAGGGCACCTGGGAGCCAACAGGCATAAATAAAAACAAAGGAAGTTGCACCTGATTGAAGAACATATTAACTGTGAGGGTGACTGAGCAGTGGAATAAATTGCCCAGAGATGTTGTGGAGTCTCCTTCCCTGGAGATCTTTAAGACCCATCTGGACACAATCCTGAGTAATGTGCTGTAGGTGACCCTTCTTGAGCAGGGAGGTTGGACTAGATGATCTCCAGTGGTCCCTTTCAGCCTCAACCATTCTGTGATTCTGAGATTATATTTCCTACTCGAAGTGTATGAAATACATTATCAGTTTGAAAATGGGTAGATATACTGTGACTTATAAATATGGGGGAACTTGTCGAGTAATATCATATTATTTGCTTCATGAAAATTGGTATACACACATGATTTCCCAGAAAAAAAAAAAAAAATCTGTAAGTGAAATATTGTTCCTACTAAAAGGGTGTAAGGAAAATATGACATGCATCATAATATTTTATCAAGCTTCCTGGACTACTTTCTTACTGGGGTTACAGGGCACGTTTATGGCAAAGGCACCTTCCCCCCCCCCCCCCCCCCCGGCCAAGTCTATTCTGAATTCCTGTTTGAGGACTTGACTTTTAGAAGGAGGCTGTTAAGTAGACAAACTGTTACATTTTGTTTCTGGGGAGTCATCCCTATCTTTCCTATGACCATGTGAAGCTCATTAAACTTACAGTCACCAATCAGGTTAAAATCTTGAAGAATAAAGATTGAGCTGATAGTCTGCACTGTACATAGTACTTACTGGCATTTATAATATAGCCATACTATTTGAGGTTCAATCAGAAGTTTATTTGAGCTTTGATTATCTGTGCCCTTATTAAGACCAGAGCAGTTAAGATTTCTGTGGAAACCTGATCAGGAGCCATGACTGTGTAATTACGTTTGGGACTATGTAATGTTAATTTGCTTACAAACAAATCTTCACTGTACCCTTCATGTAGTATTCACTTATCACAGTTTCTGAGAGTGTGGCTCCACTGACAGAAAAATTAAAGACATTGCTACTGAGACAACTGAAGGTTTTTTGCCAAGATGACAGTCTCTTATCCTCAAGACAAGTGGAAATAAAATCTTAACCATGTGCCTTCTGTTTTCAGGTATTCCAGTGCCTGCTCATTGAAGGGGAGAACAGCGGTGAGGATGCCCTGAGAGAAGCAGAGAGATTTGTTATTAGTGATGCAGAATTTGAACAATTCCTGGATCGCCACAAAGATGTCTCCTGTTTGGTACCTGAATCTAATCAGAAGGTAAAATTGAAACTGTCCTTTTGTAACTTTATTTTCAAATAAAGTTGGAAAGATGGAAAGGAACGAGACACTTTCATGGCAGTTAACGCTTTCCCCATTAGCGTTGGCTTCAAAGAGACACGGTCCAACTTTGTCAGCAAGTAGATTTGTTATGGTGGAAGCTGAGTTTTTCAATTTTCTTTAAGGATTTTTAATGAGCACAAAGTTATTAATAGAGGAGTAAAACCTCGTTGATCTCAGTCCTGCAGAAACTAGTGGGAGTCCTCTCACAGTGTTGTGTGGGCCTTTTCTCAGTGAGGTAGATGTACACACTGAAACTGGAGAAACTGAGTTTTCCGCAGCTCAGAGATGAACTCTAAACAGTATTTAAGCCATTTGGAATTGAATAATTCTTCCACACCAGGGCACAAGGTCCTGAAAAAGTTGAATGTTAATGTAAATGCACTTTATATTCCAAGCATAGTTTCCTAATAGAGATTCACCATGATGTTATGCTATGAAAGTGTCTCTGACCTGCAGGAACTAAGATATCCCAGTCAGCATTATATTAGGTACTGAGGAACAAGAACTAGTATTTTTGCCTGATACATCTTACTGGTACTCCCTCCCACAATAAAATCACCTTTTAAAATTGTCTATCTGAACACCTTTGGACTACACTTTCAGGCTCTTTGTTCAGAAGTAGATTTCTGTTGCTATTACAGAGCCCAGCAGTTAATTTGATGAGCTGCCATCCAGTTTACATTAGCTGCAGTGAAGGACATCAATGCCTAAGGGTGGAACTCATGATATTTTGTAAGATGACCCTATATATGAGGAGAGCTAAAACTCACTGTTAAGAAAGTTTATGAACTGAGTGAGGAATTACTAAATTGACCCAAGCGAAGGAATTCTTAAATCTCCCATTGAGATGGGAGAGATGTTCCTTTTCCTCCCCAAAGATTATGATTCTCCATTTACAGTTTACTTCTTAATGTATGGAGAGCTCAAGTGAGGAGGCTGAGTTGCCTCTACTATGTAAGACATACAAGTGGGACTGTACAATCTAGCATTTGAGGCATTTTGTGATCTGGGAGATTACCTTTGTCTGCTGTGTAATAATTAAACATCCCAGCTTAAATGGTCACTTTATTTGTTTGGAATATTATATAACCATTCCTGTATGCAAAACTGTGTAAATTCTGCTGGTATAAAAGTTAGTAGAAAAGTTGGGTATTATTTAAAACACTTTTATCCAGTTGTGCACCACATTTCAGTTAGACACTTGAGAGGTAATATTCCAAGAGTTACTGGTTTATTCATGAATTAAATCATGATAGCAATCCTGTAGTTTATTTCTATAAACTTGATCCAAGCTCACTGAAACAGTGGTAAGATATTACCTGTTTCAAATGATTAATAGTTTGTATTGTCCTTGATGTTTCACGAGAATTGAATTTTGGTTTGTACATTAATTTTTTTTCTTTTGGTCTATTACAGATGAGGGATTCGTACCTCATTCTGGATGAATATGTAAGTTTTTGTTTGATACTTGGTATTTGTATGCTAATATGTATGTCTATATAACAGTGATAACCAAATCAATTTACTGTGCATTCTATAAAATAACTTACCGTGTAGTACAAGGAACAGATGTAATATCTTCCCATCAAACATATTAAGAACTTAATAGTAAGTATGACCTAAGGAGAAATTGCCATTGGGTTTATATATAATCATTGCATCACAAACCTTAAAGTGTAGATATCTGTCTTTGTAGGATGTCTTTGCTGTTTAATTTAAAAATACAGAACTCATCCTGAAAGTTAAGTTTCAAGGAGCCTGCTTAGTTTACATATAACTGAAGAGGAAACTTTTAATCTTTAGCAATTATGCTAAGGCTTTATTCCTGCTGAGATGTGTTGATGTATCTGACTGCAAGCTGCTGAGCTTTCTAAGGACTAAGTGAAATTGTTCATGCACTTATGCAGGCTTTCCTGGCATTAAAGAGCAACTTGTTTAATTCTGTAGAAAAATTAAGCTTTTACAGACTGACTTTCTAACATCTTATCTATTGATGTTCCAGATGCGTTTTCTGAACTGTAGAAATGGACGGAAAGAGCCTTCCAAGTCTATCCTAGATGTTGGTGTAGAAGCAGCTATAAAATTCAGTGGATTTGATGAGAAGATGTTCCTTAAAAGAGGAGGAAAGTATGTGTGGAGTAAAGCAGACATGAAACTGGACTGGTAACTCAATATACTGAGTTAGGGCAGGTGCATTATGTAAAGAAAATGGGTGTATGTATATGTGCCTGTATATATATGTATCTAATGCTTTTAACTACACTATGTGTATTGCACATACTGCATACACAGTATAGTTCTGTATGTGAATGTGCTAAATATTTTAGAACGTAGACTATGTTCTTATCCATTGTTTGGTTGAACATTACCAAGTAGCTTGAGAGCTTTCATATAAACAGATCTCTGAAATCAACTTTCTAGTCCATTGTATGAAGGACTTAAGGGCAAACCATTAACATAATGTCACACAGGAAACAATTTTAAGATAATACGTAAGTGTGCATGCCATAAAACAAACCAAAACACACCCTAATGTCTAATTTATTACAAACAGCTTTGAGAATGGATAAGTGGAATTAACGGGGAACGTTAGTCTACTTCGTTCATATGTAAAGGTGGATTGCAGTTCCTCGCTAGATCACAAGAGGGCCAGCTGGCAGTCCTAAGGAAACCGCCCTCGTTTTTGGTTTTCTGGCAATTAATTTTTGGTTTTCTGGCTTTATAATTACAGTTTTCCAAACTTAATTAGTTCCCCCCTCCTCATGCTCTGTATGAAGGGTATGGGGATAAGCACTGCACAAAGCCGAAGTGAGCTGGCACTACTCATTTGTCCTGTCTATTGCACTCAATGCATGGACTGTCTCATAAATTTAAATGTTTGCACCAGCTGGGAGCCAGCATGCATTAATATACCATGTAGAGAAAAAACATCTTCTTTCATTTTTCTGATAGTGATAGTTAATTTTTTTTCCGCTATTTTTGAGAGGAATGTTTTGCATTCACCTAAATATAGGGGAAGGTGCCTAAGTAGGAGCTGCTACTTCTGAGTAAAGGAAGGTGCATCTCTGAATACACTGTGAATTTTTTTCCATTTATAATTCCTTCAGTTTCTATTTTTACTATCCTAACTAAATATACTTTCTCTGGTGCTCTTTTGTCTCCTTGTATTTTGCATTTTGCAATCACAACACTTCCTAAGCACTTACAGTTCAGTATTTTTTTTCTTGCATTAATACTAAGTGACATTTAAAATGTGGCCCACACACATTAACCCCACAGTCTTTTGGCAGCTCTTTCACTGACCTCAGTTGGAGGTCTGCCTGAGTAGCGAGTATGGGCAGCACAAATTTATGTAGCTGGGGTTTGATTTCCTCTGCATTCCCATTGCTCAAATGTTAAACCCAGCCTCTTTCTCAGCATCTACACTGCATTATAGAAAAGAAGCATTTTCCTTTGCTACTGGCTCAGTCCCAGCATGGGGAAAGATTTAGTGCATCAATGTACCAGTAAATCTACCAGCTTGCTGCTTCTGCAGAAAATGCCAGCTGTATCACAGCACACAGATGCGAGGCACACAAACTCCCATTCAGAACCAGAAATCCTGCCATTCTTTGCTTTGCATTTTACTCTATAAAGGGCTATTCTTTTGGTGCAAGAGATCCTCTGTGCCTACGGGGGAAGCTGTAAAGTAAACAAACTGGAGCTGAAAATGTGATAATCCTGTAAATAATGTAAAGACATTGAAGATGGCTTTTATCAGAATGTTCTAAGTCCTTCTTTTCTTAAAATCTTAAGGATTTTACATTGCCTCTTGTTACCAAACAGAATTAAGATAAAGTTGCTGCTCTGTGTGATACTCTTTTCCAAACAAAATGGCAGTCTTGTACATTGGAAATTAAGAACTTGCATAACAAGTTTTGACAGACAATCACCGTAGTTAATGAATAGCTGTCAGTATTTTTTATATATACAAAATTAATTTTTTTTGTGTAAAATCTCAAAAATGTTTTTGGCTACAGCTTGGTTAACCTAGGTTTTTTTTTCTTTTTTTTTTTTAAATCTATAAACACAGTTCACATTGGACCAAAAATGGACTTTAGGCTTTCAGTCTGCAGTGAGGCCTAACTTTCAGCATAGGACTAGAAAATTAATACTGAATTTAGTACAGCTACTCCCAGGCTTAGAGAGTACATGTACATTGTGACTCTTAAGGGTTATGATTTGAATTTAAGTCCTGTAAACACAGATATGCTTAATTGCATTTTCGTGTGTAATCTCCTGGTACTGCAACCAAGTGCTTGCTAAAGATGCTGAAGTGCGAAGGAACTTTTACTGTATTTTGCTAATATTATACAGCTGTTCATTTGTAAAAATTGTTATGAATGACTGTTTGGGAGAATGACCTCAGTTGCAATTATGAATATATCTTGGGTAATGAGTAAAACTGTCATTTAAGATGCATTTTAAGATGCCCTCTTTTTCATCATGAAATACATTTCAATGTCACAAATGATGGAATTTTTAAATGCTGTCATATTTCACTTTGCACATTTCAATAAATATATTTTCTTAAGTTTGTCCATACTATTACTATAATTTTTTGATATAACCCAGAACCATACTAGCAGAATGTGTGAATGCATGTACAAGAGAGCTGTAATTCTGGGTGCAATCTGTAGTTAGCATAAGGGGCTGCTTGCACGGTGCCAAGGGCATCTAGGCTGAAAGGGAGAACAATAGCGGTGATTCTCCTTGTGATGAGCAGCATTTGTTACAAGTTTCAGTGGACTGGGCTGTGCTGGGAGAAGATGGTTAAAACACCTTGTGCTGTTTGGATGACAGGTGTTACAAAAGCCACAGCTATCCATAAATATCTGAGGACAAAAATAGATGATCTGCTATGGTAAATAAGAGAGAAAGGGTAGTCAGTTTAGTGGCATAAAGACTTTAAAGCTCATCAGTCTCCAGGCTGCAGTATCAACTCTTGTACTAGGCAACCTGAAATTGAGCTTTCCATGGTAATCGGTTGTGTGTGATGGGAGGCTTAGCTTTTCATTCCCCCTTGCTTTTGACATCTTTATTCCTGGCTATTGTAGTGGAGCGAGGGTACGCAGGAGCAGAGCTGCAGCCAGATGCACTACGCCTTTTGCGATCCCCTGACCGTGGTGCTCCCCGGAGGCTGCTGTGTGCTGTCACCCCTGCGATGGGTCAGGCAAGGGCGTCAACCAACCAGACCGCTCCTTACTCATCTCCCCATCTCGGGGCTCTTCCTTTTTTGTTACCGCGTGTTACAGAAGAAAGCCCGTGGTTGCTCTATACATCAACCAACAACGGGAAAGCAGCTGGTTTTGCTGAGCATTGCTTGCAAAACAGCCATGCCCATCACGGTTTTCTTACGTTTACCTCCTTCCTTTTCTTGACAGCGAGGCAAACCCTTCTGCCCTCCTTCGTAAAATCAATCTCCCATTGTTTCTCTCCTGCCGCTGAAAGATGTGCTGGGCCCGGGGGGGCGTCACACTAGGGCAACCGGAGATGCGAGTCCTTGGAATAAATCAAAACAACATGGGAAAACCGGCGGCGCTGCGCGGCTCTGCACGGCTCGGCCCCCCCAGGGAGATGGCTGCCCGGAGCACACAGGGAACAAGCCCGGCGCTGCCAAGAGGGAAATCCCGGGATCCCCGCGCCCACCGGGCCGGGAGGCTCTCCCCACCGCTGCCGCCAGGGGGCGCCGCAGTGCCCGACGCGCCGGAGCGGGGCGGCTGCTTCAAAGGGGGCGGCGGCGGCGCGACGGTTAATGGCGCCCGCCCAGCTGCGGGCGCGCCCGCCCCCGCCCGCCCTCACCACACCTCCTGCGCCCCCGCAGCAGAAAAGCCCGGGAGCGGCGCCCCTCGCGCGCACTCCGGCCCCGCGGCGGGGGGGACACCATGCGGTGGGCAGCGGGATAGCGCGGGGTGTCGCGCGCACCTTCCGCGGGCCGCCTCGCCTCGGCTGGGGCTGCAGCCGCAGGGTAAGGTGACCCGGGCAGCGAGCGGGCTGTGAGGGGTAGCCGAGCGCGGCGGGAGGGGTGCGGCCGAGAGGTGGGGGCTCCTCCGTCCGCCCCTCTGAGCACTGAGGGGTGGCGGTGTCTTTGCCGCGGCGGCGGGGCAGCCGCGTCCCCTTAGGTAGAGGGCTCTGCCTGCCGCTTGCCGCACACATGCTATCGGCGGGCTGCGGGCCTCCCCCGAGGAGTGCTATGAGCGCAGAAACAGCGCGGTTCCCGCTCTGCTGTGCCCCTTTGCCGGGGAGGTTGCGCTTCATGCGGGGCGAGTGTGACGGTGTTGGGAGCGGTACCTGGCCGGGAAGGGTGCTGGCGGAGATGCTTGCCTGCAGCGGGTGTTGCCGGACACGCAGTGAAAACGCTTCCTTGGGCTCGTGTGTTTTATGGGCTGTGATTGCCATAAATGAGCTAAAGCCTCGTCAAATGATCTAGTGCCTTGGGGTGCAATAGCCGCTCTTGGAGAGGGTGAAGGGAAAAGGGGGTGTGGATTGACATCTATAGCCGCCGTGGTCAGATGCAAGTGAAGTGTGCAGTTTGAGGATAGACTGGTTTGCTTCGGTTGCACCGGTGGGAAAAGTAACAGTAGGACTCGTTTAGGTTTGGGTTTTTTTGTTGGGTTTTTTTTTGGTGGTTGTATTTTTCCTTCCTTCACTGTGCTGAAGAGATGCTACCGTTTACTTTTTTTATGTGTTGCAAAAAGGTATATGTAGGATAATAAGGTGGTTCCCCTACTCCCTGGATCTCCAGTGCCGTTTTAAACCAAGGGTATCTTGTGCCTGAAAAATCAGGCCCTAGGATCACCTTGTTTTAGTTGCTTCTATCGAGCTGGAATAGGGAGTGTCAGTGGGGCAGGCTGGTGGAATAAGATAGAAGCTGCTTGAGTTTCCACTGTGTTATTGGAAATACTGTAATTTTTATCCTGGAACATATTATTCTGTGTTTTACAACAAGCATGAATGATGATTTATATATAGATCCATTTGTTTATATTGTTCCCTGTGTAGCCAAACAACTGTTCGCATTGTGAAATGGATTGCTTCATTTTACATCAGCTTATCAGTGCTGACCCAGGAGCGGCCACAGCTGAAGTCAGTGCTCTTGGGCAGAGTACTACTGGAGAGATTACACTGGTACTGTAAACTCCTGGTTACTGGACTTTGCCTATGTGTGCTCCTCTTATAGGCCTGAGATGTACTGAAGGGGGGAGTGGGGGGCGTGAGAAGAGGCTGTGGATATGTTCTGTGCTGAGGGGCAGCTACTCAATGCTTACATTGGACTTTTCAGTGTGGGAGAATTTAAATTGCTGCATCCTGGTAATGCCAGGGCAAAGTGACCTGACTTGAAGTTTATTAAATACCTAACTGAAGCAAGATCAAGTGAGATAAGAGTGATGGTTGTCGTTAAACCTTTGCTTTTGCTTAGGAGCTTTTTGAAAAAGACAGGATTTCCCTTGGCCCCAATGAAGTTTCATTCCTCTATCACTCTTTTCCCTGGCCATCGTGTTTCATTATCCTCTTGCGCAATCTATATGTTATGAGGGGGAGAAACCATCTGCAATTGAAATAGTAGCACAATGACGGATGTTTCAGTCTAATAAAGCTACTCTGAATGAGACCTGCTTTAGATAAAACAAAGGGTTGATTTCCCCTCCTTTCTAAATCACCCTTATTCCTATTCTGGGAACTGCTAGATCAAATCACATGCTTACCATCTGCAAACAGTTACTGTATATTTTTGCCCTTGAAGCACAGTAGTATGTTACCTTCACTTAAAACCTGGACTTTGCATATTCAGTATTTAAATACAATAATTTCTGTAATAATAAAAACCCAACCTATATATTTGCTTAACTGCTTTTGCTTGTAACTTTTTTTCAGTACTACATTCCAAGTCTTTGACACATTTTCTGTGTGTTTTTTTTTTTAATAACTTTTTACAACTTTCCTTTCAGTTAAGCCAATGGACAAGGACAAGGCTTCTGTCTTAACCAGGAGTTTTGGCTGCAGTACCACACTGGGGGTATGAATGGCTGCAGTGTATCTGCTGTATTTACAAGAATGCTCTCATAGGCTGGCAGAAAACTGTTGTTTGCCTTCCCAGTGCTGATTCAGGGTAAAATAACAACTGATCATCCCACAGCTTGATGCGTGCATATAGACCTTTTCCCTCCTAGGGGCCTGATGTAGCAGGGGAATTGGAACCTGTTACATTTACCACTATGTTTCCTGTGGAGTAGTGTTAATAGTTGGACAGTTGAGTTAGTTTATGGTTTGATAAGGAGATTTGCTTTTAAATGTATTCCTATTTGTATCTTGAGTTACAAAAAGGAAATGGAAAACAATAAAAAAACAACCTACCACTCAGTTTGAATGGTTTAGCAGTTCTGCTGTGTCTAACTTAGATCAGCTGTTATTTTTATCAGACAGGATCCTTTTCTATTTTGCTTTGCAGAAATGAGCTCATAATATTAATCTTCCCATGACCTTTTGAAGGAGATCAGACAAAAAGATCAGAATGATAATTTGTATTTTTCACTTCTGATAGCTGGGAGGAACTGTTGAAAATACACTTGTTCCTTTGGCTGTCTGCTGCAAAGTGATGGTAATGATTTTTCTATTTCATAATCAGATCAGAAGTGCTTACAGCTCTTCTGTGTATGCAGGCAGTGAATACTGGAGTTGGCAGTGCTAGTATGAAATGGGTTTTCAAAGAGCTTGATTGTTTGCTGATGGTGCCATTTATGGCGGCGACACCATCGATCTCCTTTCTTAGAGGCTGAAGGAAAATGATGAAAAGCAAAAGTGAACCAGTGTGTCTGGTAGTCTTATTTATTGTGAAGAAGAAATTCTCATCAGATGATTCCAGTCTTGGCAAGACAATGCTATTTCCCTCTTACAGCATCATTTTCATCTTTTCATTCAAAGAGTAGCAAGTGAGTGGTGGCTGTTGCATTACAGTACTTTGCTGTTATATTCCAGGTATCACTGTGGCAGTTTGCAACTACATCCTTTTCATTTAGTAGAAATGACTTACGATTGAATAAATGGACTAAAGTTTATTTACTATAAGCTTTTCTACTGTATGATAGCCAAAGGATCATCTGAAATACTTGTGAGTGAAGCGAGTCTTG